GCCATCAACATCATGATCACCATCATTGTCATCACCACCATCAGCACCATGGGTCATAAAGAACATCATCATCATCACCACCACCACCACCACCACCATCATGATCGAACCTGCGTTCGGTAGTAGGTCGCGAAGTCGTTCAGCTCGGAGGCGTTCATCCCTCTGCCGTTGTCCTTCACCGCGAGGAAACTTCCCCCCCTACCCCCTAGCTGAAAATCGATGTCCACCGTGCGGGGGCCCTTGTTGTCCTTGGTTGCCTGATGTGGTAGTTTGGTGCGCCAGCGAACACGTTGTTGTCTTCACATTCAAACGTCCCTGTTTCTGCTCAGTATCTTCAAACATTGGTGCCGGTCCAAGCGAAGCTCACGTCTTGCGTGGTAGCAGGTCTACTAACCGAAGAGGGCACGCGCTTGTAGCTAACCAAAGACACAAATGGGACAAAAAGCACACACGCAAAGATCTTCCCTCCTTGCTCGTGCTTTTCCAACGCATGGTGGTCTTGGCAAAGGCACCAATCGGTCAATCGTAACTACCGCCAACCAGCTGGCCTACGAAGCTTCTGCAAAGGAACTTCGACGACGAGTCAGTCGTTGTTCGCTTCAAGGCTTACCATACCGACATAGGCCGGATACGGTTTGCCGTCGAGCTAACTAGTTTTCTGTCGGTACGAACTCGTGACGTCTTCAAAGGTCATGGATTACTAATCGACCAAAATCCACCACGGCCCACAGGTTGGGTTGTCAAAAAGTAGCGAGGCCGGCGAAAAGGAAGATGGTGGTTGCATTGAGGGGAAGTTATTTGGTAGTGACGAAGGAGCAGGAGCGGGAAGAATAGACAAGGATGACAATGATGATGGAGGAGAAAATGACGGTGTTGAAGAGAGCAAGAGTTACGAGCCAGGTGGGCTTCAATACAAAACGCCGCAGGAACAGAGAGGACCGGCAACAAAATAGTGGCAACATTGGTGACGAGAGTTGTGATGCAAGCACTCTCAAACGTAGGCCCATGCGAAGTAGCAGCCTCGTAGACACATGTAGTTTTCTTCTGTTGCTCCCGTTGCTGTCTTTAACCAAGACGGAAGCTTAGCCTCCCCATGGCACCTCTGCTCACGGGGTCCCATCATGGCCGTAGAAACATTTTCCGAATTTAACAGCACTGGACTATGACGCCTTTTAATTGTTGAGCCGGTTAGAGCGGGCGATGCTGACACTAAATGCTCACACAAAAACGAGCGGCATGCACACAAACAGAGGAGAGAGGGGGGGAGGGGAGAGAGATATACAGAGCAGCGATTCATATATAAGGCCACATCGTGCGAAGGGATGTGGTTGGCCGGGCTTATACCGGACATCCGATACTGCTCAGAGGTCAGCTAGCGCCCGCATTCAAGAACCTCTAGTTTTGATCGAGGTTGGGTTATTCGTTCCTACGGTCATGCAACAAAGGGCCGCCGAGTACGTTTTAGTGTAGGGTGGTTCTTTGCCGAGCTCACAAATGGTGCTCAAGTTCTCATATTTTGAGTTTTGTCACCTCAATTTCTAAAACCGCCACGTTCTGACGTGCCAGCGCTATCTGTATGAGACAGCTTGAATATTTCGTCCGTGCCACGCAATTTCGCCGGCATCACACAAGGCAACCGGCCTTTATTGTGCGGCCATATGCAGTGACCACAGCTACCGTATCAATCGAGAAGGAAAACAAGATGGAATGACAATTCCGCAACCACAAGAGCTGTGGGAACACTGGTAGTTTGCTGGGTTGAAATATAAACGGAGGGAGAAAAGTAATCGGCTTCACAGAGCAATATTTTTCCGATGCGGCAGCAGGCAAACATGCACCCACTGCTGTTTGACGTTCAACAGAAGACGTTTTTTCTCTCCGAACAGTCTGAAAAACTTGAGGTGCCGGGTGAATTCGTCCCCTCCTTTCTACCTTTTTCTTCCGTGCCCGCCCACAGACCGCGCCGGGCGGGTTCGGAAGTCAGACGAAGGTAGACACGGTCATCGGCAGCAGCACGGCGTGCGACACGGCGCGGCTGCTTTGCTCAAGAGCCGCAAACACTCAAGAGCCGCAAACACTGTTCTTAGGTAAAAAAAGTCGGCGTTCTGTAGTCACGTGCACCGCTGCTTTGAATCGCCCGTGAGGCCGCAAATTAATCATAAACTTGATTTCTACTGTATCTCCACGAATTCACCTACCGCGATGTGTGCCCTTTACGTTTAATATTTGGCTTTCGGTGTTGAAAGTAGAAGATTAATAAGAAGGAAGTGCGACGGACACCGTCGACAATCCACCCCATACCTCCAAAACAAACGGCACGCAGCTTTTTCGCTACGGTCGACCCCCCCCTCCAAGAAAACCCGCCTTCGTATCCCTCCGGCCTAACCTGAATAGAGTTGTCGATGAGCTCCGCGATGGCGTGCGGCATCTTGCTGAAGTTGGCGTCTCCGGTCTTGACCACGGCGTTGAAGTGCGGCGTGTAAGAATTCTTCACCACAACGTCTGCCCCGACGCTGTGGACGACCGGTCAACACGGAAGGGCAGTACCAATCGGGACGGTACGTACTTCTATATTTGCTTACCTCCATCATCGGAAGTGTGCACGGCGTAAGCACACGCCTCATGGTTCAGAGAGCTGCACCAACGAGTGGAAAATGGACGCACTCGCAAAGAATGTTTTATCGTGGACACACATTCACAAAAGTAATAGTGTTAAGGGCCTCGTGACAAATGTCTTAGTGTTACAGTAGAACTTGTGACAGAATGCCTCCTTAAGCTTGCTTCCGCTCGGAGGCCTACAGCCCCTTTGCGTGTGTTCTGGACTGAAGAACGATGATACCAGAGTTGTCTTACGATGATACCAAGCCTGTCTTGCGACACCACCAATGTTACGACGCAAAGGGGTATCATATGATCCCAAAGTTGTGTATCGATAAAACAAAGTTTGATTCTTACGATAGAACCAAAGTTTCCTACACACACACGTGCTATGTGATGTTCCGGAGTTGGAGGGCGAAAGTAAAGTTGTTTGATAGGGATACAAACGCGAAGAGTAAATAGAAAACGCCTCCCACTCAAACAAGTCAAGCCGCAAGGCAGGCTTTAACGTGGACTTAGTCGAAATATGGGAGAAAGAAAACTCACGGGTCGTTGATGTTGTCGAGCACCAAAAACAAGCGGTAGGGTTCGGGCTTTCGCCCCCAGTAGTGGCCAGACCTCATGGAAGAGTAAACGGCTTCGTCGATGACGATCTCCCGGTCGACGTCGGTCACCACGAACTGAGCATCAAACAACGCACGGCAGTAGAATAGCAGTCATCTCATCGAAAAAGAGGAAGAAGTGCAATCTCTTACATCGCTCTTTGCACCAGAACCCCCGCATGTTAAGAATTTGTGAAGTGATTGCTGATGTCTCGGCAGGGGACACGGATCGTAGCGGCGTGTTTCGCGCTTCCAACAGCAGCTCACGCACAACAGGCGAGAGGAGCGTCGTAAGCACGGAGGCCCGTTGACCGGCCGGCTCCATCGGGAATCAACACCCCGAGCATCCCTGCTGAGGCCGGAAGACCCAATGCTTGAGTCAACAACAAGCTTTACTTGGCCTGAATACCTACTCTTCATGTTGCTTCTTCAGAGAGCTTGCGCCGTAGCTTCTGCTTGGTACACCGGTGGTATATAAAAACGTTCTACGCGCGGGACTTCGTATAGTACGGCTTATACAGTACTGAGAACAAAATGCCTCTTTCTTGCTTAAGGTGTTAATTGTCTCCACATTCCTTGGCCGATTCCACTGTTCATTCCTCACTGACCGACTCCTTTCAACACAAGATAATAGATACTTCGCTGTGACATCAAGCTGTCCAACAGCAGGACCAGATATGTTTGTCGTCCACGCACACACGAGCTGTTAAGTAAGGCAAATCACTATGCGGATACTTTTAACCCGTCTAGATCAACCATCCTTGCTGCTGCTTTTTCAACGAATTGTGGCCTTGATCAAGGTACCAATAGATTACAGTCGTAGCCATCGCCAACCACACAAACGAAGCCTTTTGCAGGGGGGAATTTCGACGACGAAACAGCCTTGCTTCGCCTGAAGGCTGATCATACCAACAGGATTCGGAGCCGGTTTACCTTCGAGCTGGCTCGTTTTCTGTCGGTACGAACTCGTGATGTGTTCAAACGTCATGGACGACTGATTGACCAACTTCCACCACGGCCAATAGGTTGGGATCTCAGTAGTAGTGCAGACAAAGGCGATGATGATGACAATGAGGGGAATTCATTTGGTAACGATGAAGGAGGAGGAGAGGGAACGGGAGGACAAAAGGAACCGACCAGAACAGCAATGGAGGAGGGAAGCATGGAGTGGAAAGGGAGCAAGAGTTTGAGCGAGATGACCTTCCCCACAACAAGCGACGCACGGCTACAGAAGAACTGCCGAACGTTAACTGTGCAAAGGACGATGAGAGTGATGGTAGTGAAAGCAAGGAGGATGATCGTGAAAGCACTCCGAAACGAACCCGATTGCAAGGAACTCGATTGCAAGGTAGCAGCCTTGGCAGACACGTTTTCTTCTGTTGCTACCGTTTCTATCTTGAATTCGGACAAAGACTTAAGCCTCCCCCATGCCGCCCCCTCCCGGGGTCCCAGTTCTTTTTTGTTTCAACCGCAATGAGACTGACGTCTTTTCATTGGTCAGCTGATTAGCCCGGTCGATCCTATAAGAATAAAGGCAGGGACGTCTTTTCATTGGTCAGCCGGTTAGCGCGGTCGATGCTAATAGGGTGTTTGCGGACTGGTGTTGGGATTTCATCTTCGAAGTTGCCAGGAAGTTCGAGATGAGATCAAAATTTGATTTCGAAAACAGCTTGCGAAGATGCGAGTGAAATTTTGTGGTCTTGATCACTCAGAAATTTCCAGGAACGTAATATTTTACTAAGGCGGAGCCCCCTTTTCGGCTCTTTTCGGCAGCAGACTTGGTCCCGCTCGGCACAACCTTCCGCCTCCACCCCCACCGCAAGGCTACCACAACATTACACTCACAACCGCTGCTAAACAATCATGGAGAACGATGGAGGTCAACGTACTCATGAGAAGGCTGGCCCGGTTCAGTTGCCGGGTGTTCATGGCAACACGAGTCCTCCGGCGAGGGCCGCTCCCCTCGCCAGAGTTTCGGTGAACACACAGCACGAAGGCCAAGGACCTCCTCCTACTACTACCGCTGCCCCGAGGTTTTGTGATACGCGTCGCCAGTCATCAACGGAGTCGATCGTCCGCGACAGACGCATCACCGGAGCACGGTCCACAGGACGCACGCGCGGCAGCTCCTCACGCTCCCACGCCGCTTGAAGCATCCCTAACCCCATCGCCTCCGCCTCCGCCTGTGCAGCACTCCTAAGATTTATGCCGCTCGCAGCATCGCCGTCATCCTCGTCACGCCGACTTGGTGTGTCACTCAAGAAGAGCATGTAGAACGGTATGCTACGGTTCAAATGGCGCAAATGCACCATATCGACAGCATGCATTGCACCGGGTCTGGCGTGCAGTGACGACTGTCTAACTGTCTTGCGGTACTGTAGCTGGCTCGCCATGGTAGTGTGTATCATGGCCGAGGTGTGGGTGCATAGCTAGCCTCACGGGCTGGTGCGGCATGTGTCCGGACAACATCGGGAGTATCTCGGGGAGTATAGGCCAACCAGAAACTGCTCCCAAAAAGATAGATGCGAGCAAGATGGAGTTTGATCTTTTCTGCGGCCTTTGAGGGCAATTCGTAGAAGCGAAAGATCAAATTCCTAAAGATCCCGCGGTCTTCGGCGCTCGGGTGGATAAAAAAGATCGAAATCAAATCGAATTCCGATGTTCGCAGACAAATAAAATCGTTCTGTATGGGAGGACGCCCGTCGGAATATATAGCCAACCATTTGTCCACATACAAAATGTAGGAGGATATGATTCCTCGGGGTAACTTGCCATCGGGAGAATTGGCACGTAAAACACCGAGGAGATTTGTCTCTTCCGAAGTCCATGGCCGATTGCCGAAAAAAGAGATGGGAAGCCTCCAGCTCTCCTCTCTCGACCCTCTGGTCAGTCTTTTTCTACCTTCCTCTCCTCGTTACATCTAACGAAAGGAAATAGCCACCCTTAGCAGTGGGTGAATACTGCAAGAGTACCGGCATCTGTCTCCGACAGGGACTAGTATCCTCATTGCCGTCGACGAAGAGATTCTGTAAGGTTATCTTCACGTTCGAAAAAAACACACACGTTTCACCGCCGATACAGGTTTTTCTAGTATTTATTAGTCCATCCCCTGCAAAACACAACGAATTACCATCGTGGTTGCTTTATGTGTTTGTTCGGAAGATACAAACAACTCCGTCGGGAATTCGTAGGAAGAGAAGCTGGCCCTTTCGGATCCATCGCTCCTCGCAAGTTGTTGTCTCGTTCGCAAGTTGTCGCACTAGACATTGATTGATAGTAGATCTTTAGGACTAACGCATTCTGATTGGTCGGGCATTGTTTGGCGTTGGTTCTAACGGCCGATTCCTCTCCAGCGCCCTCTCCCCGTTCCGAGCACGAGGCTGCGCCGCATGCTCGCCCAGTTCGCGGCCGCTAGGCCGTGCGTTAGCCGTGGGTGAGGGGTAGGGTTAGGGTTGGTTGGAGTGAGAAACCTGGCCTTGCGCGCGTCAGGAACCTAGGCTTGCTACGGTTAACATCGGTTAGTCCGTCCTAAAAGGTCGCTATCAAAGTCTAACAAACGGCTCAGTTGTACGCCCGAGCTGGCTCCAAAAATTTACAATGGCACTGCCTGGTCCACATGCACCAAACCTCCCATCCAGACAGAGAAGGAGAGCTCATCGCTCCAGCTTACCCTCAGCACTCGGGACGCCGAGCAAAAAGACGTGTGAACGAAATCAATGACCATAGATCAGCAGTCAAGGGAGAGTCGCCTGAATCTACAATTCTTGTGCACCACAGATTCGTCGCCTGAGGATTGCACTAAATAACCTTTCTCCACAGCAACATCACTCACACAATTTACACCTCGAGTTCCTGGGTAGGTCTGAGGTCACCCCACCGGACAGTCACAAAAACAGATACAGAAACGACCGAATGACTAGCACCGCATCGTCTCATCTTCGGGGGTAATGATACAAGTGTAGGCGCGGTGGATCGGCTCGAACGTCGTTAGTGTCAGTGGTCGTGGGCACATGATGTACATGATCATGTGTCCTCGAGCCCTCGATCCCCCCGAAAAAAACTTTGTTGCATGGTATGCATAAAATAACATGCATACGCACCTAACCCGGACCCTACCAAATGATGTCGAATCCCTGTTTCGACTTCGTGGACACGTTTTACACTCCTGTCGCCGGCACCTCTCTTTCCCTCTCCTCCCCCCACCCCCTCTCCTCTCGCTCCTCACCGGTGACATCTCACCTCTTTATCACACTTGAATATGCGGCTGACATGCTTTTCGAACAACACAGGTGGACGCTACCCCCCCCTTTGACAAGGTTGACCCACAATCTGACTGGGTGGATTTCGCCCCACGGCGGCTTGAACGATAGCTATGGGCTGTACCAATGAAGTGCACGTGGTCTGATGTCCATCCGCGCCGTGTGTGGCGAGAAACGGGCGGTGTCGTCTATAAGCTTATCTACGACACCGCCCTCGGGGACACCGTCCCGGCGGGTGTAGGCCTACCATGGCACTGACTGATTGGATTTCGCCCCACAGCGGCTTGAACGATAGCTATGGACCATAACAATGTAGTGCACGTGGTGTGGTGTCCATCGGCGCCGTGTGTGCCAAGAAACGGGCGGTGTCGTCTATAAGCTTATCTACGACACCGCCCTCGGGGACACCGTCCCGGCGGGTGTAGGCGTACCATGGCACTGACTGGGTGGATTTCGCCCCACAGCGGCTTGAACGATAGCTATGGGCCATAACAATGTAGTGCACGTGGTGTGGTGTCCATCGGCGCCGTGTGTGGCGAGAAACGGGCGGTGTCGTCTATAAGCTTATCTACGACACCGCCCTCGGGGACACCGTCCCGCCGGGTGTAGGCGTACCATGGCACTGACTGGGTGGATTTCGCCCCACAGCGGCTTGAACGATAGCTATGGACTGTACCAATGTAGTGCACGTGGTCTGATGTCCATCCGCGCCGTGTGTGGCGAGAAACGGGCGGTGTCGTATATAAGCTTATCTACGACACCGCCCTCGGGGACACCGTCCCGGCGGGTGTAGGCCTACCATGGCACTGACTGATTGGATTTCGCCCCACAGCGGCTTGAACGATAGCTATGGACCATAACAATGTAGTGCACGTGGTGTGGTGTCCATCGGCGCCGTGTGTGCCGAGAAACGGGCGGTGTCGTCTATAAGCTTATCTACGACACCGCCCTCGGGGACACCGTCCCGCCGGGTGTAGGCCTACCATGGCACTGACTGGGTGGATTTCGCCCCACAGCGGCTTGAACGATAGCTATGGACTGTACCTACTCATCGCGAGTTTACGTGCGATCAGGCGATGTCTGTGCAAGGAGTTATGACCGGAACGTCGCTGACACCCCCCCGGTAAGTTGCGTAGCCCCCTATTTTCGGCTCTTTCTCCGCATTTTCCTTGGCCGATTTGACCCAAAATGGTATGGGCTGATAGCTGCGGGCCGTGGCTACACAGCGCATTTTGTTGTACGCCGATTGGAGCTCTGGGGGCCAAGAAATGGTAGGTGTCGTATATAAGGAAGTACGACACCGGTGTCCAATATAACACTACCGTTTTTTGTCGCATTGGTTTTGGTTTACCTCCCAAACAGCTATCGTTGGCGAAGGTTGTGAGGCCCGTAGACAAACGACACGGAGTTGCACCGATGTCCCGGACAACAACATCAAGTACGAAATAGCAGTACATATCGGACGACACCCTAATATGGCTCGCACAGCACGCAACCTGATTTTCAAGCCGGTTTGCTCCAGGCAATCAACCGAAAAGGGTGGTGTTGGACAGATTTATTTGCCCACAGGTTTCCTTCGACATGTCGATCGGCTTTGGTGACCTGTTGGCTACGGAGCAATCGGCCGTTGGAAGACGGTGAGGGGGGGTGGGGATTTCGGGAGCTCGTGTGACTGAATTCAGAGAAATAGTTGCGGCTTTTCAACCGCGGGAGCCTACCAACTTCCTTAAGGGCTAGTTACCGAGTGTTTCTGCCGAGTGCTTCTAACCATTAGCACACCCACGACCACCTTGTTCTCTCGTTTTCTCTTGCTGTGTGTATTCAACACCAGCCTACGCCACACCTCCGTTGGCTTTTGACCATGCGGCGCACGTGCGAAATCGGGGTCTTGGCCGCGCTGGCGTTGTTTGCTACGCCCGCATTCGGCGGCTGCCCGTTCCTCTCGGGTCAGAATGTTAGAGAGGATATGTTGCCTGCAAGCGGATGCATGCACGGGGTAGTGGACAAGCAGATGGAAATGCTAAACGTACGACATCATGCCTTGGCACACATATTGTGACTTGAATTCTTGGTCTCATGTCTTCGACCGAGCGACATCGTGTAGCCTGACCCAACACCGTCACCTCAGGAAAGGTCTTCCACCTGGCGGCAGCTGTGCGTTTTTGCGGTTTTCGGCTGGTCTGCTTGGTTGGGTATGGAACTGGACACTTTTCATCCGTTCTGGTGCTGTACAATACTTGGCGTACCCATGTTGTGGACAACAGTCCCCTGTTCTAAGCACGCAGCGTCGGGTGGAGGAAGGAGCTCACTGGAGATGTTGTGTGAAGCATCTACCGTTGGTCGCAGACGCGGTATGTATGTGGTGATCCTCTGCGCCAGCTCTTCGATGTAGAGGGATGAGACCACGCCGCTTCAACCCTCAAGGGCCTCCGCCATGTATACCCCACTCCTATCCGCCTGACCGATATCATCTCTCGCAACACCCGCTTATCAGGAGGACGCGATGAACGCCGGCGGGGATCGCGCCCTGATGTCCTCCTCCTCGTACGACAGCAGCTCCAGTGGCGCCGACTTCTCCAGCGAGACCTACCAGGCCCTCCAGGCGGACATCACGGCCATGTTCACCGAATCTCAGGACTTCTGGCCGGCCGACTTCGGCAATAACGTGCCCTTCATGATCCGTCTGGCCTGGCACTGCAACGGCAACTACCGCCAGTCGGACGGCCGCGGCGGTTGCGACGGTGGCCGGATACGCTTCAACCCGGAGCGAAGCTGGGCCGACAACACGAACCTCGACAAGTCGCTGACCCTCCTGCAGCCCATCAAGCTCAAGGACGGTGACGCCGTCTCGTGGGGGGACCTCATCACCCTGACGGGTAACGAGGCGATCCGGTCGATGGGGGGCCCCGTGCTGGGGCTCTGCGCCGGGAGGCAGGACGATGCCTCCGGCGTGGACAGCCTGGAGCTGGGCCCCTTTTCCGAGCAGGAGGCGGTCGCTCCGTGCGCCGTGAACGGGACGTGCGAGGTCGGCACCAGCACGGTCGGGCTGATCTACGGTAAGGTGGTGTCGTTTCGTTTCCTGGAGAGCTAGGTTGAGGATGAGGGAAACGATTTTCAACCAAACTACGAAATGTATTTCTCATGACATGAAACACATTTTTTCGCGTGAACGTAGTGGCGAGGCTCGGTTTGCCCGTGGCGACCCCGCGGCTAAAACCCCTTTCGTGATCTGGAAAACGCTTGCCGCCCCTCCCCCCGCCCTGCAGGAAGGACACCGTAGAACGTACACTAATCTGCGCGCTTTTCCACCCCTGTTGTGTCGTCCCGCTTGGATCATGACCGTGTGGAGTGCACCTCTCGAGCTGGCCAAAGGCGTCCGGTTCGTGCTTCACATAACCATTTATTACAACGGCAACGCAACCCCCCCCCCCCCCCCCCCCCCCCCCCCCCCCCCCCCCCCCCCCCCCCCCCCCCCCC